AAGCAAGAATCAACCGGAAAAAACTCGGCACCAGAAATTGTCGTGAAGACAAAAGTTGACATTCCGGCCGAAGGCGTCCACGAAACGTTTCTGCAGCAAGGCCAGGTAAGCGCGTGTGTCGTTATGATGCCGTTGCTAGGTAATTGTTGGATCAATTGATTATCTGTTTCTAATTCTGTTTTGTGACCTACTTATTTAATTTTCATTACAGAGGCATGGACACTGTGGTGCAGCGTCTAAAAGCTCGCCTGCGGAACGGAAGTGTCCAGGGTTCAGTTTCTGACGGAGCCGGACTTTTTATTAGAAATGACGTTTGCTCCCTGGTCGAACCAGTCTCGAGTGGATACCAGGTACAGTCCTGGGAGGTAAAGGTGGCCAGCGTGATTGTGACCACCACACCCACCGAGTGCCGATTGGTCTATAAAATACGCTTGAAGACGTGGAATGGGGTCCTTTACTTTTAAAGGAGATTAGGCATGATTGATTGAACAGTGTCTACCTGTGATATCAATGCCAAACGTGGACATTTGCATCCTCCAATGAACGTACAATTGTGACAACCGTGATGAAATGCCTTAGAAGAGCTCCAGGAGTTTCAAGGAAAGACAGAATACGAAATCATGAAATCAGACGAATGCTAGGAATAGAGCCAGTCTTACAGGTCATCAAAGAACAACAAATGAAGTGGTTTGGACACCTAACAAGAATGCCCTGGTACTATCCGCCACAGCGAGCCACACTAAAACATAACAACGGGTATAGAGCGAGTGGAAGACCTCGGAAAAGATGGTAAAAAAAGTAAAGATCCCTTTTCACGCCTTAGGCGCATCGGGTATATGAGAAGAGCGTCCCATATTTTTACAGACCAATCGGCACTGGATAGGTAATGTGGTCAGCATTCCCCAGGACAGCCATCTTGGTACCCATTTGAGGATGGGTCGACCTGCGACGTACCATACGATAAAAATCCACTCAGCCAGCAGTGGGTTTCGATCGCGGTACGTTGGATTACGAGTCAGACTCGCAACGCCTTAGCCACGGACGCCACCCGGAAAATATGGAGTGATGGCATTAAAAACAGCCTTACAGAAATGAACATCAGTCTTAATAGTGCTCTTGACAGAGCTCATCAACGAACATTACATCTCCCCCGACACTTCGATGAAGTACAAGGTGGATAAGAAGAAGAAGAAGAAGAAGAAGAAGAAGAAGAAGAAGAAGAAGAAGAAGAAGAAGAAGAAGAAGAAGAAGAAGAAGAAGAAGAAGACGAAGAAGAAGAAGAGGACGAAGAAGAAGAAGAAGAAGAAGAAGAAGAAGAAGAAGAAGAAGAAGAAGAAGAAGAAGAAGAAGAAGAAGAAGAAGAAGAAAAAAAAAAAAAAGAAGAAGAAGAAGAACCTATGGGTTGCGAGGGACCATTGAAAAGGAGCGGTTTGTGAGGGATAGTCGCTTTGCCTCCCTGATGAACGCGATGTAAAAGGCCACTAATTTAGGGGTGTGTCTCCTTTGACGTCGGAAAGCCTCTGTCTGAGAGGTGAGGAACCAACAGCCTGCACACAAATAGGTCGAATATGTCAGACGGATGTGCCAGTAAAATTCATGTTTTTAAACAATAAGAAAGTCCAGAAGTAGGAGAAAAACCAGAAATTTTGACCGGTCATCGCAAACAGGGAAAAGAATGATTTAATGGTAGGTGTATCGTATCGCAAATAATAGCTGGGCGTTAGCCATGTTCACAAATAAATGTCATCGACCCTTACGTAGCCTGTCGTTTAGATTCATGAGTTGGTTTATTCAGACGAAACACGAGAACATTTCTGGTAAACAGTGTGACAGTGCACGACAGCATAAACTACGTCAACTTAAGTAAAATAGTGTATGACAAAAAGAACTTCAGAATCATGTTTCCAGAGGTTTGCCGAAGAATATGGCAGTAAGGAAGCAGGATTTCCAAGAAACGGAAAGAAGTAGAGGACAAAGTAACAGAAAAAAGAAGAAGAAGAAGAAGAAGAAGAAGAAGAAGAAGAAGAAGAAGAAGAAGAAGAAGAAGAAGAAGAAGATGATGATGAAGAAGAAGAAGAAGAACGAACGAACGAACAAACGAACGAACACACTTAACTTTCATCCCTCGAAGTCGGCGTACAGCTGCCCATGAGGCAGGGAACTGAAAAACGGTTGTACACGCAAAAATCAGGTCCAGGTGAAAGCCAAAAGTCCAAGTGGACGATTAACCGGGACCTTCCACTGGAATTCACAGCCGGTGTTCGATAAAAAAAAAAAAAAAAACTTTACTTTCAAAGGGTAACAAATTGGGCATGCAGGCCTGTCTGACATTCAGCCCTTCTAAGCACTTATTTTTCAGAGTACCAGTCAATAATGCATGTTATGGATATAATAAAGAAATATACATTATAGAATAATGCATACACACATCATGTGTACACAATCTTACACACTCACACACACGTATATATACTCCTACATTCTCAGACATGCACACTCATATACAGACATACTTAATACATACATACATACATGCATCTACATACATACACACGAAGAAGAAGAAGAAGAAAAAGAAGAAGAAGAAGAAGAAGAAGAAGAAGAAGAAGAAGAAGAAGAAGAAGAAGAAGAAGAAGAAGAAGAAGAAGAAGAAGAAAAAGAAGAAGAAGAAGAAGAAGAAGAAGAAGAAGAAGAAGAAGAAGAAGAAGAAGAAGAAGAAGAAGAAGAAGAAGAAGAAGAAGAAGAATAAGAAAAAAAAGAAGAAGAAGAAATGAAATAACGAATGAACTGCGACATTAACTTCATTAACCGTGTTAGACACGTGCGATTTCTATTTCATTAATATATCTGGAGTATCTGTCTACGAGAAAACAATTGCCTGCGGTTTTGAATTGTGTTTTAATCGCGACACAGTGGTAGGGACACATATGTCTAATAGTTGTGTTCTCTTTTCGTTGTTCCGATTAAGTGGCTGCTTGGTCGAATGGTTAGAACACTGGGTTCAAGTGCGGTAGACCTGGGTTCGAATCCGCAGTAGTTAATTTTTTTTTTTTTCCCGGACTAAAATAATATCATCTGCTCTGTCGTGGTGACAGCACTAGCCATGTTGCCTTAATATTTAAAAAAAAAACCAGTAAATGGGTAAACCATTTGATAATTAAATTTGACCATTTCGCATACTTATGATTGCATTGTTAAACTTTCCGATTGCATGGTTACGCTGAAATTTTATAGATTTTCATTTATTTTCATTTAGATTTAGTTATTTCATCTGTGTTGGAATTTTAAGCTGTGCTGTTTACAATGGCGTTCATTTCCTAATTATGGTGTTTTTTTCCTGTGTTCATTTGCTTTTCAAGTGTTTTTTTTTCCCTCCCAACTACTTCAATGTGGGAAAGAGTTGTCGGTGAATTTGGGGGGGGGGGGGGGGCAAACTATTAACTGAGAGAGCTTTAAGTCACAGTAACTGCTTTACCCACTTAAAGTAGCAGCAGCAGTAATAGTTGTGGTTGGGCTGTTACACCATAGTGCTCTCATGTGAAGACCGCCGGTAAGGTTATGGCGTTTTTCTGTCGGCAAGTGAAAATATACATCCTAACCTGACCAGTCTGTGGCGACAGCACTAGCCATGCGGAACCAAATCTTCTGGCTCACGACTCTCTGTCTACTCCGATGGTAACACAGATAGCAGTGACATTATTTTAGTAGTTGTACTGGTACTTGAAGGATGATGTGGTAAATATTTCACTAGCCCTATTCACTACCTTTTACAATTCCTGCTCCTTATTTTAGTCTAGATGGACAGGTATGTCAATGTCAGTTACAGCAACAACAATATATCGCCAGTTAGTGATTTTCAAATCCTTCGAAGAGGGAGAGAGCAGTAGTCGGTGGAAGAGGGGAGGGGAGGGGGGTAATGACTTAAATTTAAGAGAACTTAAAGAGCTTTACACATGATTTTCAAGTTCTCATTACCTAATTTGTTTATATTTTACTAACGCTACCTCCGCTTTTTCTCTTTTTTTACGACTTACTAATTTTATTTCGAGTACTTTGTTATTTACAAGTACAGTTGTAGCTTTACTTCCGTCTCCTATAAAAATACAAACAGCTTTAGCATGTGATAACCAAATAACCACTTTTGTAACCAGTTTTTTTAGCTGTGGTTTAGCTGTTGCTCTGTACATCGCTAGCGTGAAGCGAAGACACATTTCTATGTTCTCTATTTTCCATGTAGTCAAATTACGCCACAGCAACGCGTGGCCGGGTACAGATAGTATATATATATATATATATATATATATATATATATATATATATATATATATACACACACACACATTCCACAGACAGACAGACAGACACACACACAGAGAGACAGACAGACAGACAGACAGACAGACAGACAGACAGACAGACAGACAGACAGACAGACAGACAGACAGACAGACAGACAGACAGACAGACAGACAGACACACAGACAGACACACAGACAGACAGACACACAGACAGACACACAGACAGACAGACACCAGACACAGAAACCCGCATACACACGAACACGCTGACAGACACACACGCGCGCGCATACACATACACACAGACACATGCACAAACACACAGAGACGCACACACCCAGACACAACCCACAGGAACACACACAGATGCTCATACACAGCAGACAGTCACATAAACACACGCAGAGACACGCACGGACACGCGCTGACACACACGCAAACAAATACACACAGATACAGACATACATGCAAACAATCACACAGAGACACACACACGTAGACATAAACACACGCAGACATACAGGCAGACATGCACACGCAGACACACACACACACATGAAGAAGAAGAAGAGAAAACAGCGGCAGCGTTCACTGAAAAGAGAAATACGCGGCCTGCTAAGCAAATATAATGAATCGTTGTGTCTGTTTAATAATCTACCACGACACTACAATATAAAGACATGTACAAGTGGGATATGAATGATACAGGTATTGAGATAGATGCGTTGCAACAATAGTAGTGAAATCCTGTGTCCCAATTAGGGAAGACTTTTCTTAACGTGAGCAGGTCATGCTAGTTACACCCC